TCTGTTAGCCTGGTGAGGTGCCGCTTACCGTCGCTCGGAGAGACCGGCAGACAACTTGAAAGGGCGTGGAGAGCTGCCGCTCCTCGCCTGGGGACAGCGGCGCGCACGCGTTGGGTCTACCCCCGGTTCAGCTACACGGCAGAGCCTTGGTCGTGGGCACTAGGCCCCATGCTTCGCATGTGGAGGGATTTAACTGTATTTTATCCGCCCATGGAAGCTACCGCCTACAGTACTCTCTTTTTGCAATAACAATCTGCGAATTGAACCCTCTGCGGCTGTCTGGCTCGCCTGGGCGGGCACTTACATTTCATTTCTTATATCTTTCGTATTTTTGCCTCCTGTTTCAGCCTGCGCTGAAACGTGCGGCGCGTCCGGCGTGACGCCAGCACCAGTTATGCCGCATGGCCCGAGGCTATCTCGCTCTGAGGCCAGGCTGATTTCGGACACAGCCCGAGCCCGACACATCGTTGTTTGTAATAGTCGCGAGGAGGAAAATAAATTATACATTCATGGATACTTTTTGTCAAAGCTTGAATGTCAAGAAAATGTAATACTTAAAATCGCGATTAAGACTTTTTAATGGCCTTAATTTTCCGACATTTGTTTTATCAACTTTTAATACTTTTTAAGACCCCGCAGACACCCTGAATAAGACAGTTTAAAGCAGAGTTATAAAACTTGGTCACCATCCTATTCTCTCCCCCAATTCATAACCATAGTACTCTAGCTGTGGTGCAAGATTCAAGCCAATCTGCAGCGCTATTGGTAACAGTGCCAGTGCTTATCTGTTCCCAGGCATTTGTATATTCATGTTGTTCATAAAATTTAAGAAAGGTGTCCATATCTTATAAAAATCCTCAACTTTCCCTCTTACTATGTAGGTGAATTTTTATAGTGCCAGACTGCAAGATATCTCCTTAACCAACCCTAGAATCAGGTCTCTGAGTATCCTTCCAGGTCAAAGCAATTACACGTTTGGCTTGCAACAAACAGAAATTGATTTGTTTGCGTTTCTTTGCATTTACTTGGAAATCTTCAGGGTATATGTGTAATAAATACATTTTAGCTTCAACACACTATCTGTCAATTTAGAAGTCAGCCCTAAAACCTCTTTCCAGAATACCTGGAGTTTTCAACATTCCCACATACAATGGTAGAGTGCCAATTTCTACAGTGCACTTACTACATGTATCAGGGATCTCAGGATTAAAATGATGTAATTTAATATAATATAATCATATAAGTCCTGAGCAACCACTTATACTGTAACAGTTTAAATCTGGTATTTATAGTTTGGGTTTGGGCGTGAAGACATGCCTTCTCCCAGTCAGAGATGTTTACCTGAAGTTCATTCTTCCATGCACCTAAATACAATACGGAGTTCTCCTTGGAGCCTGCTAATAGTATATCATAAAACTTTGACCACTGACCTCTGGTATATCAAGGGCTTACCGTGAATTTTTCGAGAGTGGATAATGTAGGTTCTAAGGTAGTCT